GGGCCCGCCGGTGGTCAGGAGGCACTGGGGGTGGGGGAGGTGCTGATAGAGGGGCTGCTGGTGGGTGCTCAGCACCCACCATTTTTTCCCCATGGGTGCTCCAGCCCTGAAGTACCCACGGAATCGGCGCCTATGGCGGGGATAGCTCAGGGGTGCAAGAACAGGGTAGGTGGGCAGGCTCCAGGGACTGCTCGTGGGTGGGGGGCACGAGGCTGAGGTGGGACAGGTCGACTCCGGGGACCACTCAGAGCACAAGCATGGATCCACATGCTCCAGCCCCAGCTCAGCTTCAGCCTGCATGCAGAGGCGGCATTAGCTGTGGCTAGTGTGTGAGTGGGGGGCACAGATGAAAGGTTCTGGAGGGTCGTGTGACCCCCACCCCCACCGCAGTGTGACTATATTTCCAAAAGGAAAAAGGGAACACTGCGCATGGCGCTGGTCCGTGCCCTGTTCCCCCCCGCTCCTTCTGAGGGGTTGGCCCATGCCCTGTCCCCACTCCGATCTCTGCGCCAGGGGCTGGCCCGTGCCCTGTTCCCTCTCCCTCCCCTCCCCTCTTGAGAGGTGTCCCCCCCTCCCCACACACACTGGTCTGGATGGTTTGTGAAGTAGACAGCAGTGCTGGAGCTCCAGCTGCAGGAAAGAGGAAGCAGCCCCATATGGGGCGGGGGGAGAGGAGGAGCTCAGCCAGCTGCCATGCTCCCTCCCCACGCTGCACTGACACACTGAGAGCACAGCTGCCAGAGGTGTCTGGAGAAATGTGCGGGGGGGAGGGCGTATGACCCTTCGTGCCCTGCCCACAGGTCACCTCTGCCCCCAGTGTCCACTGAAAAGTATCTGGCTGTCCAGATTTGGACTGTGGTCTGCCTACTGACTACCCCTGCCTTAGAGACTGTGTTTTCTGGCTGCCTTAGCCAGGAGGCTTAGGTAAAAGCATGCTCCCTGCTCTGCCCACCCAGCAGTGTTCCCTCTAATTTTTCCTACACGTGTGCGGAATGAATTTTGTTATGTGCACCAATATGGAGGTGATGTGTGACACATCACCTCCATATTGGTGCACATAACAAAATTCATGTGGTGGGGGTGGGGCGAAGGGGTTCGGAGTGTGGGAGGAGGCTCAGGGCTGGGACAGAGGGTTGGGGTGCAGGGGTGTGAGGGCTCCGGCTGGGGGTGCAAGCTCTGGCATGGGGCTGGGGATGAGGGGCTCAGGGCTGGGATAGGGGATTGGGATGAGGGCTCTTGGGTGGAGCTGGGCATGAGGGGCTTCAGGCTGGGGCAGAGGGTTGGGGTGCAGGGGCTGAGGGCTCCAGCTGGGGTTGTGGGCTCTGGGGTGGGGCCAGGGATGAGGGGTTTGGGGTGCAGCAGGGAGAGGGGCTGGGGATAAGGACCCCTTCCCCAGTCACAGCAGGTCCGGGGCTGAGATGGGGCCAGGGGAAGGGCGTCCCAGCTGCTGCAAGTCCAGGCCAGGGCTGGTTCCCTGAGTACCTGCACGGTGCTAAATAGGCTACTGTGCGGCCGCGCAGTTTACAGGGAACTTAGCCACCCAGCTGGCCAGAGCTCCTTCGTAGACTGTTACTTCCTGTCTGCCCCGGACAGAAGGTGCTGGGCTAAGGACTGTTTGTGGCTCTGCCCTGCCCACCACAGGGCCAGAGCTCCTCCTCCCCCAGACTGTTCCTTGTTGTCGGCCCCAGCCAGGCAACTGCAGGCTAAAGACTGGCTGTGGCTCTGCCCTGCCCAGAGGTCCAGAGTATAAACTTGCCGTCGTCTGCCTGTAGTGAGGCGGAGTGGCCTCCCTCCCCACTCAAGAGCAAGGGACAACGCCACACTCCCTCTGAATGTATTGATCTATCCATTTAGGGGGTTACATAATACAGCATTTTAGTGCACAGAAGATTTTCACCTCTTGGGATTTGGGCACTAATCCAGGATTAAGAAAATGAGTTTAATAGTATTCATCTTAGTCCCTTAGAAAACATGATCTCCCACTCTGTTCCCATGAATTCATTATAATTATAAGTTGGAGAACAGGGGAGGGGAGTAGAGTGGGGATGGCTCAAAAGAACACTTATTGCAACTGTAAACTCTGGGATTAAATTAACAGGAGATGTTACTTTTTCTGTTAACCAGGTGAAATAGCTGAAAAAAACTCCCAAGGGAATCTTCAGGACTGCACAGTGAAGCACTGTGTGCTGCTCTCATCAAAGGCAGATGTAGATCCACGCCCTTCTTCCCAGCTCGATATAAATTTTGTTCTAAAAACTGCTCATGAAAGGGACAAAGAGGCGCAAAGTGCACAGCCACTGATTTAGCCTTCATGGAGGCCACAGGCAACAGCCAGCCGGCGGCACCAAACGGCTGCAGAAATGGAACAGCAGCAGCCACAGCGTCTCAATTACATGATGCTATCAAAAAAGGTTCAGTAAAGACAGTCCGGCAGCTGTTGGAGGAAGTTGCAGATGTCAATTCCAAGGTAGAAGGTGGTTGGACACCTCTGCACAGTGCTGTACAGGCTGATCAGGAAGAGATTGTTAACCTTCTGCTGGAGCAGGGTGCTGATCCACGTGCCAGAAAGGACAATGGTGCCACGCCCTTTATTATAGCAGGCATAGTGGGGAATGTGAGCCTTTTGGAGCTCCTCCTTTCTAAGGGGTCAGAAATAAATGAGAAGGATAACAACGGCTTCACGGCCTTTATGGAGGCTGCTTGGTATGGGAAGGAGAAGGCCTTGAAATTCTTGTATGAGAATTTCTCGGATGAGAAAGAGATGGATGTGAATTTGGGCCGGATGGTCAGTACACAACAAAGACAAGTGTACAAAGGCGGAGAAACAGCCCTGATGGATGCTGCCAGGAATGGCCACCTCTCAGTTGTGAAAACCCTCGTGAAAGAGATGAGAGCCAGCGTGCATGCCTGTGATAACTTTGGCAGGAACGCTTTGATCCATGCATTACGGCTGCCTCTGAAGAGGAACACCATACGTAGACAAAACAAGAATATAGAACAAATAGTCTCCTTTCTGCTGGACTGTGGCGCTGATGTTACTGGAAGAGATGAAAATGGGAAGACTTCGCTCATCCTGGCAGCAGAGAGGCAAAGTCAGGATTTGGTGGAATTGTTACTGAAGACAGGCAAAGTTGACATTAACGCCATGGGCAATGATGGCAAAACAGCACTGAAGATAGCAGTGGAGTATGACCATGAGGAAATAGCCAAGCTGTTATGTGAGAACGGAGCCAGGGCTGATTGTAATGACATTTCTGCGGCCAAAGAGAACTACAACAATGAAATGGTGGCGCTGCTGCTCAAATACGGTGCTACGGCTACTAATAATCAGCCTCCTAGAGAGTGGGAACCCACCAGCAAACGCTGGGGAGAGCAACTATGGCGTCTTCACAGTATAAATTCCCCTCAGATCGGAAAACTCAACATCATATTTGATGAGTATTACTGCATTGAGAGCACCTCTGAAGGTGGCATCTACCTGGGATTCCATGCAGGGAAAGAGGTGGCTGTGAAGAGATTCCTTCTTGGCAGTGATAAGGCTAAACGAGAATCCATGTGTCTCAGTCACTGCCATAGCAACAGGCATATGGTAAAACTTTTTGGGACTGAGACTCATGGCAACTGCCAGCTCTTCTGCCTCTCTCTCTGTGAGAGCAACCTTGAGGATCATCTGAGCAAATCTGCACAGGCAGTCAATAATCATAACATCCTCAAGACACTCTTGGAAGCAGTGAGAGATCTGCACTCTTTGGAATTAGGCCATGGGGACCTGCACCCACGTAACATTTTGATAGGTTTGTGTGTTTTACATTCGGTTCCATTTAATCTTGCAGCCTGGCTGGGTGAGAAATTCTAGAAAGCAGGGTTGTAAAGGTGCGGGACTCACCCCTGTGGCGCCTCCTGCTGGTGTCTTGGGAATTAGCTTGTTTCCAGCCTTGGAGCGCCCTCTGCAGGCAGGTGTCCCACTGCCGCTTGGCCCCCGTGTCCCTCCCAGGGCCTGGTGCCTCGTTACCTGGGGTGCTGCCCCTGGCCATACACCCCTCTGTCTCAGGGTCTCCCCACCCAGGGGAACCCCCAACCCTCTATCCTCACCTTGCCTCAGTCATGGGCTACTGCCAGTCACTAACTAGCCCCTGTTCCCTGGGGAAGACTGCAGTATATGCCACTCATCACTGGCAAGGAGGGTTTGGACCTGCTGCCTCTGCCTACCTGTGGGATGCCCTCTGCAACCCCCAGTACCTGTTGGCCTTAGACTAGGCCACAGCCTGGGGTTTTCCAGGCCGGAGCTCCCCAGCTCCCTTGGCCTTCCCCCAGCCCTGTTCCACCCAGGTACCCTGTCTCTAGCTCCCTGCAGCCAGGCCCATCTCCCTCTACAGCTAGAGAGAGAGACTGCTTGGGCTCCTGGCTCAAAGCCTCCTATATAGGGCCAGTTGAGGCCTGATTGGGGCGTGGTCCAGCTGCAGCTGCTTCCCCAATCAGCCCATTAGCTGTTTTCCCTGCCACAGCCCTCTCCCAGGGCTGTTTTAAGCCCTTCAGGGCAGGAGCGGGGTAACCACCCTGCTATAAGGGTATTATATAAGATTCAAACCCAGTGACTTGCACGATGTGTGTATTTTCACAACAAGGATGTTATGCATGTGTACAAGGATGCTTTAGTATGTATATGTGTGCGAGACAAAGTATATAGTGTGTGTCAGAGACAGACAGACAGACAGAAGGGGAAAGGAAACCTGATCGCAGCAGCAACAAAGCCTGTAGTTCAGCAGCTTTACCATCATATGGACGGATCAGGGCATCCCTCTGAGTAACCCTGCTCCAGGGAACAAAGGGTTAATTCAGCCACACACTAGAAAGGTGGAACACCGCACAGGAGCCATTAATTTACTATTAACAAATCATGTTGCTTTGCTAGATGCGGATGATAAAGTTCTCCTTGCAGATTTTGATAAGAGTAGCAGTTTTGCTGAAGGTCAACGGGAACTTATAATCAAAGAAGACTTGGAGGTACTTTTTCCTTAATACCAATATTGTGTTTACAGTTTTTCAACTTTCTACCCTTTTCTGATTTTTTTTCCTAGTTTCTCTTTCTTTTAATTTCCTGGTGGGAGAGATCTTAGCCCTCTCTGCTCATACAAGAATAACATGCGGTTATGCCTTTTGAGCCAAGTGATTAGCTAACATTTGGAATCTTGTGGGTTGATTCTGTTAGGAAAAGAAATAAATTATGGAGCCAGGTATTTCTTTGATGCAATCCTGCTTATTTACAAAGAATGCACATAAAGTCCAGTTTCCCTGAACACAAAAGAAATCAAACAGCAGGCGACAGTTTCTTTGCTCACAGTCCCAAGCCTTTTGCCCAGCCAGCACTCTACCCAAAAGTGCTGTCTCTTAGCTTTTGTCAGCATCAGGCTGCAAGCGCATCTTTGGCTGTGCCTTTGTTGCCTTCTCTGTCTGCCTCTGTGCATTTCTGCCCCCCCGCCACAAGTCCATCTCCAACAAACAATATACCTCAAAACCTCTCTTCCCATGTAGCTCAGTTTCTGACCTGATCTGCATGGCTGGTGTTTTGAGTGGTGGCGTCTATTGTTTCAGCTATCTATTCCATAAAGGAGCTTGATTATTTCTTACATTTATATTGAAGGAAGGGCAGTGGTTAACCCAACCCCCAACATAACAATACAGTTGTTGGTCTCTGCAGAATCAAACATAGAAATAGACAATGCAGAAGGTCAGAGTATTGTTCAAAGCAACAAAGAGTCCTGTAGCACCTTATAGACTAACAGATATATTGGAGCAAAAGCTTTCGTGGGAGAATACCCACTAAGTCAGACGCATGTGAGTATTGTTGATAGGAAATCAATTTGGCATCAGCCAATCAGATGGCTTGATTTTTTGGACATTCCAATGCTGCTAAAAAAAAATACAAATTGCAGGTGCATGTGATAGAAATAGTGGATTATTCCGTCACTTCTGATAAGGGACCTACTTGATACTGTAATTTCGACATGCTAATATAATGATGTGTCAGAAACAGCCAAGAAAACAAAGGGTTGCAGTCCTGTTGTGGCACTGCAATCTATTCTTTAGACAGAGCCAACTCTCCCTGGCTAGATCTACTTCTTTTCTACCTATACTGTTTTCATTGCTATACTAGTCCATTGGAGATGCGCAGGCAAGGAGCTTTGGAGAAAGGGGGCTGCCAAGTGCCAGATCTATTGTTAGGAAGTTGCTTTGCCTGTGGGGTAGGAGATGAAACGGAACTCCATCAGTGAAACAACGTATGTGAAAATTTTACAAACCAAAGTTCTGTCCCTTTGCTTTACACACAGATGGAGACAATCTGGCCCATAGTCTTTTCTATGTATCTTGCTTTCAGTTTATTTTAAACTTGATATAAAAATACAATGGTCATGACACCTACAGCACAATGCAGCATATAGGCAATTTGACTAGGAGCTGGTCAGCTTCTTGCAGTAGATCATAAGAAGTTGACATAGCTCCTAGGAAAATGGAATTTTTAATAGAAAAGGGTATTTTCCCCACTTTCATGACTCCCTGGGGTTGCAACCTACCCACTGAGAAAAGATAAATAAAAACTGTTGAAGGACAAGTCATTTCCTTATATTACATGCACAGTAAAGGGAGGGTAACATACCTAAAATAGGCCTTAGGCCCCAATCCAATTGACTTCAGTGGCATCACTCACTGTGTGTGAAGTTAAGCAGACGCGTTAACCTTTGCAGGATTTAGGCCTATGGGAATACAGCAGAGGCAAAGCAGTTCATCCACTGGTTCAATTGTTCATCCAACTCCCAAAGAGAAAAAAACATTTCATTTAAAAAAACGGTGCAGGTTGCTAAGTATCAACAATTTATTTAACTACCACATCATTTACAAAACCCAAACCTTTAACAGCAAGGAAATGAATAGTTAAAACATCATAACATCTTACAGCCATGTAATAAACGTAAGCATGTTATTCTTTCTTAGTCTAAAGAAATATATATTTCATTACAACACAACAACCTTAACCTTGATCCACGGATTCCATTATTTTACATGCAGCATTTTTTTTAAAAGCCCAACAACCTTGATTTCAGTATCAAAACAGCTTCTTTTAAGGGATCGTGTTAAGTGGGAGATATTATCAATTCATATATCTATTTTTGGTAAAGATCCTGTACCTGCTGTTTTTTGAGAATAGCAGAACAAAGAGAATTTGGCCCATAGGATGAATATATAACTGAAACTTTGCAGATTATGGGCTCAGTTCTGCTCCTTCTGGACTCAAGGGGAGCAGGAGCAAACCCTGTATGTTCTCTCTGCTGGAGGTTTCGGCTCTGGAAGTGAAATATTCTGATGCTTGTTCTCCTGCTCAGGCACTTGGGAGGTTGGTCCTATATGTTGTAACAAGGGGTGAGGTCCCTTTTGATGGACCTGATGGAGAGAATGTGTCTGCAAGATGTCCAACAGATTTGCAGGGTCACTTGGAGATTGAAGATCTCATAAGAAGTTTGGTCTCCCCCCATGGAGGAAACTCAGTTCAGTTAGGAGACTTGATCCACCACCCCTTTTTCTGGACCTGTGAGAGGTAAGTGTCATTAACAATAGTTCTAAGATCTCAAACAATAGATACAAAAGATGCAATGCTCCTGCCAAAACCTCCCCACTCTGGGATAATAAATGTGCCATGACGACCCTGACTCACCTTCAACTCTATAGCAGGTACACATTCTTGAAGGCCATCCCTTCCTCTCTTTCAATTCCACAGCAGGTTTGAGTTTCTTGTGGATGTTGGGAATAATCCAGACATCGAAAAATACAATGCTGGGAGCCAGATTGTGAAAGCTTTGAATTGCAATAAGGCAACAACTGAGAAGCACTTCCACCAGTGGACTAGGAAGGTAAGCTTTAATCAGCTAATTATATATTAAGAATAATCCTCCAAATAGGCTTCCCACTGTGTCCTGTTTTCTCTGTATCTTTGTTGTATAGTGCAAATGTTCCAGGGCTAGGACCGTTGTCAGTTAGTGTCTTATACAGCACCCAGCACGCTGCTGGCATTTAAATCATAAAATAAATAACAATAGGCAGCTTGTACTAGGAAAGGTGTCCCTGAAGACTTATAGGCCCTAAGGTTTTCTGTATGTGGGCCACAGATGTCTCAGCCCAGATTCCTTACTGTGGATCAAGATTAATTTCCTTTTCTCTCTTCTTGGTAGCGTCATCATAGTCCTTTCTGCTTGATGGTTGGTTGGACTACTGCCTGTATTCAACCTTTTCTCAGTCTGCTCATGTTCTGTGTCCACCGTGTCTTCAAAGACAGGATACCTGTTGCTGGTGGCAAGGCTGAAGGATCCATAAATGCTTTTTATTACTCAACCTGTCCATTGCAAAGTGAAATGGAGGCCCTCTTGCCAAAGCCTATTTGATTTAGTGATCAAAAGCAGCTAATGGCCAACCAAGGGATTTGGCAGAATTATGACACATAATCAAGGCATCATCCAATATACATATTTTTCCAGTGCACTGATACTAAATAACTTCATTATCAGTGGATTCCTGTACAAAATGGAATCTGAATTGGTTTGCCAAATTGCTAATATACATTTGATATTTAAAATATACTTTAGATATTTTCTTCTTAAGAAAATGCATTGTTTTTTCCTATATTGCCATTTCATATTTTAAATATCTGAAAACTTCATCAGTTTTGTACCTTTTCAAGTATATTTTTTTGCCGTTTTTTCATTCCAAATCCCCTCCCCCACATACTATCATGCAGGTTGCACACTTAAGCACTCAGAAATCAAGAAATGACAAAATTAAGGTTACACATGTAATGCTAATTATTATTTATTTTTGTATTAAAGTAGTACCTAGCAGCACGTACCAAGATCAAGGCCCTATCATCTTAGGTGCTGCGTGAACATATAGTAAGAGATAATCCCTGCCCTCAGGAACTCACAATCTAAATAGACGAGAGAGAAGGTGGGAGAAAGAAAGTATAATTTTCATTTTACAAATGGAGAATGGAGGCACAGAGAAATTCAGAGGGAGTCTGTCACACAGGGAGTCTGCTGGAAACTTGAATCCAGAGCCAGATCTCCTGAGTCCCACTCCAGTGCTTTAACCATAAAACCATTGTTCCGCTAACTCGTCCCCCTTGTACATACCTGAAGATATGTAGTGAATGGGCTCCACAGGGCCTGATCCAATGCCCGTAGACGTCAATGGGAGCCTTTCCATAGGTGTCAGGGATCAAGCCCTCACTGCACATCTTACAAGATGCGCCTTTCAAGGTTCTAGGGGAAAAAACCTGTGTTGTGTTGTATTATTTGAGAAATAGTATATAACATAATTAGAGTCTCTGAGCCAAATTCTGAACTCTGTTACATGAATTTGGTCCTGAATACTATGCATTATGTGTAAGGGGAGTTAAGGTTGCATATACAGTCTTAACTGTGGCACTTCCTGACTTTTGATGGGATTCCTATGGCTTGAAAGGAAAAAAAAATTCCATAACTTAGAACGGATTGGATCCACCAGAATTCTCTGTATCAGGTGTGCAGTGACTGTGCACCTTAGTCAGTAAAGCAAAAGGTTCTGTGGAGCCCTACCTGTTGGAATGAATACTTTTGGTGTGCAGTAAAAGTACACTCACTGAGGCCTTTGTGCAGGGGTGGCTCTAGCTTTTTTGCCGCCCCAAGCACGGCAGGCAGGCTGCCTTCGGCGGCGTGCCTGCAGGAGGTCCGCCAGTCCCACGGCTTCAGCGTACCCGCCGCCAAATTACCGCCAAATCCGTGGGACCGGCGGACCTCCCGCAGGCATGCCGCCAAAGGCTGCCAGACTGCTGCCCTCGCAGGGATCGGTAGGGCGCCCCCCGCGGCTTGCCGCCCCAGGCACGCACTTGGAGCGCTGGTGCCTGGAGCCGCCGCTGCCTTTGTGTAAATTGCTCTGTGTGGGTAGCCCCCTCTGATACTTCAGTGAGTCTCTGTACAGATATAATGGTCTGCCTGCATGAAGGAGCTTGCAGGATTGGGGCCTCAATGGGTAACATAGCTGTGCATGCTCACAGTGCATCTAGGCTAGCCATGCACATGTGCAGTGCTGCATGCCTGCATTTAGAACTCTGCTAAGAGTGGCTAAAAAAACCCTGTACTTGTACAAAGCACTGTGCATGTGCAAACTGTGATTTCAAGACCCTGCAAACTGCCAGGGCTGCCCAGAGGGGGGAGCAAGTGGGGCAATTTGCCCCAGGCCCTGGGCCCCACAGGGGCCCCCACAAGAATATAGTATTCTATAGTATTGCAACTTTTTTTTATGGAAGGGGCCCCCGAAATTGCTTTGCCCCAGGCCCCCTGAATCCTCTGGGTGGCCCTGCAAACTGCAGAAACAAAGCCACAAGTCACCAGAGATATTTCTCTTTACATTGGTCTATTTTCTCCCAGCTAAATTTCAACTTTCTTTGATCTAGTCCTTTTGGCTCTCAGGGGTTGCAAGGCTGGGTGGTTGTTTTGTTTATAATAGGGAAGGTTCTTAATTTTTTTTTACATGTTCTTAACAGCTGGATTGTTTTAGCTCATACTTTGTGAAAAAACAAAAACAGCCCAATTCATCCCCAGACAGACACTGAACCTGGAAAATTTCAGCCTGAGACATGAAAAGTTTTGGAGAGCTCTGAGTGACTGACAGTAGGGGGTACGATGGAAACAATTATACAGCCTTAACTATCACTGTAGCTATAAAATAGGTGGGTCAGTTCTGTTGAAAATATAAGAAATAATGGGATAGTGACTATGTTTCCAGTGTGGGAGATCTCAGTAGCCAGGAGACAAGAAGGAGAGGGAAGGAGGAGAATATTTTCTATGGTATGGGAACCTCATGGAGTGACCGATCTCTTATGGGTCATTTTTCAGATTGATCAAGATGTTCTGAAAGATATGGAAAAGAGACGCCCCTATAAAGATACTGTCACTGACCTGTTGAGGTTAATCAGAAATGTGGGGGCGCACTATGGTGCAAAAGAACAATGGTAAGTGGTCATATCGGTATTGATGTCCCAGATGAAGATAGTTTCGGGGGGCTGCGAGAGGAGTTGGGTGGGAGGGGGTCCTTTTTTCACTTCCAGCATAGTAGTATAAGGCTCGATAGCATTCATCACCATGCAATTTTGACAGGTCTGTATGCCCAATTAGGGCCCATTTAGGGCTTATGTCCCGCCTTCCCATCCCATTTCTGGTGGCGCCAAGGTTTGGCACCATCGGCCATTTTGAAAAATTTTGTGTGTGTGTGTGTTGGAGTAGGGGTAGTGTTGTGTGTGTAAAGATGAAAAAAGAAAGTTTGAGTAAAGTTTAGAGAAAAAAAGGAAAGAAAGGTTTTTTGGGGAGGTTGAGTCAGGAGAGAGGCTGGTAAAGACAGGTTATTCAAGAATAGAAAGAGAGGAAAAAATAAAGCAGTAAGAGAGTCTGTGTTACTGAACACATGCAGAGCGAAACATCCTACCCCAGCGACTGTTGATAGTGAAATGATAGCTGTTCTGGGTGACGAGCCTAGGGAGCTAGCCCCACCTTTTGGTGAACCAATCAGAGGTTGTTTTACAGCTAGGTCACAAAATGCACTTGTTAAACCAATCCTGTAGTCCCAAGATTTTAAACAAGAACCTTTTAGAAATGAACTATTGCGTGGTGGGTTATTTGAAAAACTCCAACCAATAAGCATTTGGCCCTGTGTATAAAAACACGTATTTTTGCGAGTGGGCCTTTAAAACTGGGAGCCTGGACACAAAGACATGTCCATGTACAAGATGCCTACTGAAGCCAAGAAGCTGGAATTGCCCCTGGGTGCACCAGTACGTGTTCAGAAGAGAAGGCCTCTTTACGCTTATTTTGCTAACGAGGCAGGACCATTGCGGAACCCCGTGTTTCATCCTGAAATTGAACCGAAGAAAGAGGAAGACTTTATGGAGCCACAGCCATTTGTAAAAGAGAAAAAGGATAAAGTGCGAAAAAATTTGTTGTCGGATTTGGAGAAAGCTGACTCGAAGGCAGAGGTAAGACCCTTTTTATAACAAATTAATGAAAAATTACAAATGTTTTATAAATATCAATGGTTAAATGTTATTTCATTTACGCTCTTAAAAAATGATTTTTTTGTATTTTTGGACAGATAACCAAGCCGGGTCCGTACAAGATTACTGCCCTGGTGTGTGACGAGTGGTCGACAGATGCAGAACCAGAAACACATGAGGAGGTAAAAACAGCTTAAATTATTTGAAAGAAAAATATATCTATCTATCTATCTATGTAAGCCACTGGTTAAATATTACTATACGGTTGTGCTTAATAATAGGTTGCTGAAACGATGATCGACGGAGCTCCCGCCAGTGGTGATTCAGAAACAAACGACACAAACAGTGGGTGCAGCGAGCGGTTGTCAACTGTAGAACCAAAAGAACATGATGAGGTAAAAGTTACTTAGAAAATCTTAAAAGAAATATAAATATAAACATATATAAGGGGAGGTTAAACAAGGCTATATGTTTGTGTTTAATAACAGGAAGGTGCCACGAGGCCTTACGGTGCATCAGTCGGGGATGATGATGATTCAGAATCAGACGAGGGTACGATTGAGGTAGCACGAATAAACTGTAGGGTTTTTTTTATTTTTAAAGGTTTACAACAAAGAATTTAAAACATATTTTTACTTTGTTTTTGACAGACATCTTCAGAGGATGAAGAGGATAAAGAGAGGTGGCCTTTGAGCAGAATAACTGTGATATGCACCTGTTGTTTTTGCGTGAAGCAAGATTTAAAAAAAAAGTCTGTAAAAAGTAAGGAGGGTGACCAGAAGAGCTGTGAAGATGACGTTATGGCCGATATTATTAGGGCCGTTGTAGTAAAAGCCATTTACCACTGTTTGAAAAAACAAACTTTTGGAAAACTGTGCAGCCTGTGCGGTAAATGAGCCCAACCCTTTTAGTCACCCTTGTATCTTTTGGGGTCGCTCAGAAGTATTTCATCAGATTAGACGTATTTCTTCTAAACTGAATGTGGCCCAGCTTCTAAATATAATTATAGCTGAAGGCTACAAACTGAAAAAGCTTAACATAACCACTGAAACTATAACCGAAGTTGTAAAAATGATTAGGGAGGTTGCAGAGACATCTGACCCGGTGGCCTTGCTGGTAGACCTGTCAAAGGAGGTGGCAGCCAACATTGGCCGATTGGTGTGTAGCAGGTTCGTAAAATGGATTATAAAACTTTTTACATGCCAGCTTCTGACCCTAAAGGCTCAAAAAAAAATATTGATTAAGATGTATTGTAAAATAAATTTAAAAAAAGTTTGTATAACCGTTTTCTATATTACTCTGCTTATGCATTAAATAAATGTGTATAGTTGTACCATATATTACTTTGCTGCGGCATTAAAAGCTTGTCTTTTTTTAAAAAAAAGTAAGATGTGTATAGACGCTTGTGTATTAAATAAAAACAAAAGCAAAAACAGGCTCTTGTATATACGTTTGTTTTAAAGCAAGACAGGTTAGACATGGTGTCAAGGCTGCTTCCCCACTTTGAACTTTAGGGTACAAATGTGGGGGCCTGCATGAAAACGTCTAAGCTTAACTACCAGCTTAGATCTGGTCCGCTGCCACCATCCCAAAGTTAATTCCCTTCCCTGGGTAGCCTTGAGAGACATTCACCAATTCCCTGGTGAATACAGTTCCAACCCCGCTGGGATCTTAAAACAAGGAGAAACTAACCATCCCCCCTCCTTCCTTTCACCAACTCCTGGTGAATACAGATCCAACCCCCTTGGGATCTTAAAACAAGGAGAAATTAACCATCCCCCTCCTTCCTTTCACCAACTCCTGGTGAATACAGATCCAACCCCCTTGGATCTAAAAACAAGGAAAAATCAATCAGGTTCTTAAAAAGAAGGCTTTTAATTAAAGAAAAAGGTAAAAATCATCTCTGTAAAATCAGTATGGAAAATAACTTTACAGGGTAATCAAACTTAAAGAGCTCAGAGGACCCCCCTCTAGTCTCAGGTTCAAAGTACAGCAAACAAAGATAAATACTCTAGTAAAAGGTACATTTACAAGTTGAGAAAACAAAGATAAAAACTAACACGCCTTGCCTGGCTGTTTACTTACAAGTTTGAAATATGAGAGACTTGTTTAGAAAGATGTGGAGAACCTGGATTGAAGTCTGGTCCCTCTCAGTCCCAAGAGCGAATAACCACCAAAACAAAGAGCACAAACAAAAGCCTTTCCCCCCCCAAGATTTGAAAGTATCTTGTCCCCTTATTGGTCCTTTGGGTCAGGTGTCAGCCAGGTTACCCGAGCTTCTTAACCCTTTACAGGTAAAAGGATTTTGGAGTCTCTGGCCAGGAGGGATTTTATAGTACTGTACACAGGAGAGCTGTTACACCCCCAAAACTCCCAACTTCTCCGGCAGAGTAATAAATTTTCTTTAGCAACCTCGCCATGTGTCATAACTATAAAGGGAAGGGTAACACCCTTATTTCAGGCCACTAAAAGACACCGTAAAACTTTAAGCAGAAAGCAGGTTGCCGCTTGGCTTGCTGATCAAGAGGCTTACACTTTATATAAACCGGCAAGGCTTACATTTAAAAGAAATAGAACGGTTGTGTCTGATGTGGACGCGCAATGGCA